TAGATTTCCAAGGCTGGCATTGAATTGGTAATACTCTTGCTTCAGCCTTCCAAAGTGCTGGCATTATACACATGTACCACCATGCCAGGCTCCATTTATTTTGCATTGGGGGTGTATCTGAAATTATGTGAGTGTTCCCTTTGCCTCCATGTAAATAATCACACCAGTGAATGTGTAGATCAAGAGCCAAATGTAGAATACATTGCAATTGTTTTATTTGGATTCTTCACCAAGCTCCTGTTTATTTTCTCTCTGGCAAGAGTACATCACAGATATACTTGTTTTTATAAATTCTCTGAATCCTAATCACCTTCATTTTTATTCTTTATACTATTTACTAAAAAATGGAATGCCTTGCTGTCTGGGTCTATGTAGACAGTGGTGGCAGTGGTGAGATTACATATATTTTCTTGGAATAATTTTCTCTCTTTTAAAAAATGTTTCTAATTCTTATAGAATGATTTTCTTTTACTAAGCCACAGCCCTTGGGGAACCCAAGGAAGAATCATCTTCCTTTTTGGTAGTCAAATTGTGTTCTGTATAGAAAAATAAATTCAGTATAGTATTTCTGTATAGAAAAAAATATAGAAATTTCAAAATTTCTATAAATGAAAACAAAACAAACTTTATCCTTTTTATAGTGTATTTTTTTATGAATACAATTTAAATTGTGATCTTGTGTTCTGTCCTTGACTTTTTCGAAACATTTGGTGGTCTGGACTTACAGATACATGAGAAGGCAAAATTTGCCTTTATGTGAAAAGAAATATGAATTTCTTTTGAATTTGTTCTTTTCTTTTTATTATAGTTAAATTCCAAGGAGAAAATTATGGTGGTAATGGTAAAATACCCTGTGTTATAAATTTCTTTATGACCCTGATTCAGTATCTTAACATGTAATGTAACATCTCTACATATATTGATAATCTTTACCATGACTAGATCACTCAGTCAAACAGTTATAAAAATGCTCATTTTGCAGCACAAATAATTATAAAAATGCTCAATTTGTAGCACAAATCATTTGCAAGTCAAATGGCTTATCTGCAAATGCAAATATGGTCTGTTTCCCTGATTACTTACTAATTGATTTTATTAGTCTTTAGAACACATAGACGTTGACCCACTAAGAAAGACAGATAAGCCTACATGAATGACATCAGTGATAACTATATTATCTTTGCTGATCAAGTTTTTATCTTGACAGTTGTTAAATAAACATGTAGTCCAGATAAAAATGAAAGTGTTTTGCAAAACGAATTAGACCAGAAAAGGTGACCTGAGGGTTTGAATTTCAGATCCATCTTGAACCAACCAACTATGTGACCTTGGGCAAATCATTCCACATCCTCCGACCTCATTCAGTTTCCTCCAGTACAAAATGAAGGGTTGACTAGATTTTCTCTAAGGGCCTTTCCAAGTCTGTGATTCTCTACGTTTCCCTTTCTTTCTAGCTGCAAGAGATGAAGGATGGAAAGTCTATCTTCACACTAAGCAAAATAACACATGATTTTATGCATGCCTGTCTCTCTGAATGCATTCCCAGTATGAGATTCAGGCCTTTCACCTTGACACATTTGTGTTTGAGCTGGCTCCCTGGTGCTTTTGTCAGTCCTGAGCTTTTCTTCACAGAAAGTGCCTACAGGCTGAGTACTCTCATCTCTCAACTGTTTGAACACCCTGCTGCATTTTTAATGTTTTTAAGGCACTGGCTCTCATTAAATGTATTAAGTCACGTCAAGTTTCTATGAACCCTTGTATTTCCCCATATATCCAATGATGCCTCAACAGCCACCTTCAGATTACTTTAATTTGCTCCCACCTGCTAATTGTTCTACTATGTAGATTCTTTAGCATTCTTTTCTGTCCCCAAAGACTAATGATATGAGAGGAATATGTTCATCAGGGTTCTCCCAAGAAATAGAGCTAGTATGATTTATATTGACAAGTAAGAAGGGATTTACTGTGGGAATCGACACATAGAGTTTCACGGTGTGCTGTCTGCAAGTTGGAGAGCCAGGTAAACTGGTGGCACAGTTCAGTGCAGCTCTGGGGAAAGCCACTAAGCAAGTTCCAGAGTCCAAAGATCCGTGAGGCCTGATGCCAGGGAGCAGGAAAAAATAGATGTCTCAGTTTAGTACAAGGAAAGGTTCTTGGCCTTTGTGTTCTGTCTGGGCTCTACTCAGTCAACTAATTCAAATGCTAATCTCTTGAAATACTCTCAAAGACACATTCAGAAATAATGTTTTACCAACTCTCTGTGTAATGTTTCACCTGTCAAGCTTGCACATAAAATAAACCATAACAAAGATGTTAATCTTTATACAAAGCAGGGTTTTTAAAATTGATCTTAGTATTTCCTGTTTTCATGTACATAAGTCTCCTCCACTCTTTCACTCCCAGACTTCGAGCTTTCTCCTCCATACTGTTGGCCTTCAGGAGATTAATAAATTCCTCTTTTTCAAAATGTGCCTGGATTGCTTTCCCTCTGTAGCTAGATGTCTGTATATCCTGTGGTGTTTCTCTGGAGGACTCTAATACTGTGCTCTTGTTTGCTAGCTTTCCTCCCCGTTTATAACCATAGCTTGATGCAGAAAAGATTTTTGCAGATATTTTATGACCACCTCAGGTTAGGCCATGAGATTATATGAAAGTCCATCAGGAGCCATCTTTATAGAGCCTGAGAAGGTAAAAGAAGGCAGAGGTACCTACCTTTTTCTGTCCTTCGAAACAATTTATAATGATGAGTGTCTTTTTTGGGGGGAGAGCTCTCTTTGTTTAATTTTCATTGATCAGAGATAAAGTAATAGAGGATAGCTAGCCTAGAAAACTAGATTCTGGACTTTAATCTGTATTTATTTTTGCTTTTTGATTTCCTTACTCTTCATTAAGTCTATTAGTTTCAGCTATGATTTAGCTATTATAAGAATCATTTTGTCTCATGTCAAAATTTTGAAAGAAAACCAATGTTACTCTCTGTCTTACAGTCCCTGTGGTGATGGCCATGAATTAGCAAAATTGTAGGTCCATTTATTACCTATCCCTTGATTGTATATGTGTGTGTGTGTGTGTGTGTGAGAGAGAGAGAGAGAGCGAGAGAGAGACAGAGAGACAGAGACAGAGACACTATGTATATGTTTGTTAGGCAGTAAAAGGAATTGAAGGATGTCAATATTCTATTGGTAAATAACACGTTTTCTGAATGGATACAAAATTTTCATGAGATTTGTAAAGAATCCATGTCTTGAAAAAAAATTAAGATCCAGTGCAATAGAGATTCAAACCTAGGAATGAAATTCTGGACTACAAAATTCACAGTGGCATTTTCCCAAAATAGAAATTTGCTCTCTACCATAAACTGTAGGGTGTCTGTCTATTTCTAGTTTTTCTAAGATTTATGCCTACCATCCCTCAATACACTGACTTGCTATAATGGGAATTGAAAACTGTATTAATCAATTCTAGGCAGCAATAAGGCCCTTAGCTGTGTCCCTGGGCTCATCACTGGCTTCTTGCTTTCCATGCTGGGTAGATCTGTTAAGTAATAATGACAAAATCTAACAGAGTGAGCTCTCTGTGGGCCGGTGGGAGCATCCATAGAAACCTCTAAAGGGTACCACATAGGGAATAAACATTCAATAGAGATTTTATCTTTCAGGACAACTCGTGGACAAATCTAAATTGGATTTTCAAGCAGAGAAGAAAGTTGGTAATTGTGACCTCCTTATTTACAAGGGTGATCAAAAGTGTGATGAATGTTTAAAATAAATGATTACAGTAAAAGACATGCCACGTATCCCCCTCAGAACAAGCTCCCCCCCATTTGAAAGACTTTGTCACTTTCAGAAACAGTTTTGTATGTGTCTTATTAAGGTGCAATTTTAAAAGTGTGGCAAATGCTACTGACAGGTGTCATCAAGTGAAAAGCAGATGCGTGGACCATTTTGATGAGTCATTGTCCACCTTATTCATTGTTGGTGGCACCCTTCTTCCGCAAAGTCAGTGTGAACATGAGAGGTCATGTTTTGCATCCATTCTAAAGGCAGCCATGATAGTGAAACTTAGACTGTTATGAAAGAGAGCTTCCAGAACTGCTCCAGCATGTGTCAAAAACAATTGCATAAGTGTGTTTGAAGGCAGGGACAGTATTTCAAGCGGGACTAATGACAAAATGTCTTTTCCTGCAATAATTTTGGAAAGGTAATCATACCACACTATACACTTCATATATTATCTTCTGCATTTCAGGTCATGCCTTTCTATTACACAAAAAAAGTGTACTTCCTGGTATTCAGACATCAGTAAAAAGAAAAGCACTATTTCTAAATGCATCTTTAGACAACATGTTTTCCAGTGTTACATAAAATCTTTGATGGTCTTCAAAGTTTTGAGAAAATAACCATGTGCAAACAGTACTTCTATGACATTTATTTTCTTCAGATAAGTCTTGGCCCCTATGAAACCAACTAGGATATTATCCAGGAAAAAATTCTACTTTGCCTGTTTGAATTTAATTTCTATAGAGGATCCACAAATTGAAAACAAGTTGACTCTCTCCTAGGTTCCATAAAACCTGCTCCTGTGGAATTAGAACATTTTATGCCTAATCAATATGATTGCCTAAGTGGGAATATAAAGGGACTATGGCACATACTAAATTTAGGAAACTGGTGTGTGTTGTTCTAATCTGTTCCTCTTTTAACCACCTCCATTCCCAAGCCAGATTTGAACAGGTTTAGAACTATAAGAAATCACCTCATTGCATTTCTTACAAAGAACAATTACCAAAAAGTACCACTTCACTGTAGATCAGTGATGGTGAAACTTTCAGTGATATAAACAGATATTCCAGGATACAATCCAAAGTTACCATAATTTCAAAGAAGTGGAAAAATGTGATCTATAACTTGATCTGACCCGCAGATCAATCTGTGGGGTGTACTTGGAGGGGGAACGGGGATTAAATAAACACATGGGGGAGACAGAGAGACTCAGGCAAGTCAAGAGAATCCAATCAAGCCCCATTTATTCCAGAAGTGATTACATCTTTTATAGGCCAAGGGCAGGCTGGAGGGACAGGAAGAGACTACAGGGATGAATACAACAGGATCATTGTCACATCCAGGTATGTGATGTAAGCAGGAGAGGATTATGGTTAATATAGGCAGATGCATTGTGCCCATAGGAGATAGAGACAGGGAGGCAGCAATGGTGCTCTCGCACGGCTCCCTATATCTCCTCCCTTTCTACATTATTTAATTAGGAGTATGGCAGGCCCTGGGAGGACAGCATCTGTCTTAGGTCAAGGACCTCATTACATGAACCCAACCAGGCCTTACCCGTCATGGGCTTGCAGGACAGCAGTTGGTCCTGCGCCTGCCTTAGGCGGCCGATGGAGTTAACATGCATGTCCTAGTTGCCCGTCTCTGACTGCCTGTCCATTGCCCAATGGCAGTTAGGCCGCATCGTCATATGGGCCATTCGTGGGAATTCCTTCCCGGTAGGTTGGTTGATCTGCCATCTCCAGCTGATGATAGTGTATCTAAATGGGCTTTGCTGTAAACGTGTCTATCTGGTTATTAATGAGCGTCATAATCCTCTGAAAAATACAAGGACTCACAGAAAGGAGAAGCAATAGGGCAGCTAGGGGACTCAAAAGGGGAGCTAGGTAAGGGAAAAGTTCCCCCCAACACACACATCGAGGAGAAGGGGTTGGCAGCCATTTGTTGTTGTTGCTGTTGAAGTCATTCTTCTATTTCTTGGAGCTTGCCTCGCATAACACCAGATGCAGTCTATTTGGCTGATTTATGTTCCTCCAGACCTAGAAGAGCCTCTTCCACACTCACAGGGGGTTCTGTGCATGGCTGTCAGCAGTTGTAGTCTGTTTGGCAGGGGTCTAAATCCACCATGGGTGTGGTATGATCTGAGGAGAAGGCTGAGTAGGCAGCATAAGGTTTCGAGGAGTTGTGTCATCTGTAAGAGAGCACAGGGGGTTGTGCCTCAGGAAATGACATTATTCTTGGGTGTCACATGGGGTCTTTGAAGAACTGTCTACTTGTTTTACAAGGTGCTCAGGGAGCCATCTAGCCTCTCTGTCTTATTGAGAGTAAACACATACTGAACTGCGTCCCCATATGAGAATGGGGTCAGGGTCATGCCATGAATTAGTCAGGGCGTCTCTCCATAGTACAGAAGCAAATTGTTTTGTGTTTCAGTATGCCAAAAATGCATGGCTGCTGACTGTCCAGAAGCATCCAAATTTAAAAAATTAAGGATGAATAAGGCATGAGATAGAATATTTTTAGGTGTCCTCCTTGTGGTACCATTACCCCCTTTTCATTTTACCAATAGTGAGTTTTAGGGAGAGATGTGCCCTTTTAAGTATGCCTTGACCTTGAGGGTTATAAGGTATGCCTTTTATATGATCAATATTAAGATGTTGACAGAAACGAGCAAAGGCAGAACTAGCATAGCCTGGAGAGAGGTATAAATGAAACCACTAAAGATATCTATAGTTAAATAAACATATTAAAAATTGCCAAACTCAGGAATGTGGGTGACATCCATTTGCCATAATGCATTGGGGATAAATCCTCTAGGATTAACCACAAAGTGTGGAATTGGGAGGTGCACGGCACAAGAAGGGCAATTTTTTATTATCTGTCTGGCTTGTTTTATAGTGATCTTAATACAGAATTACAGAAAAATAAACAGTAAGAAATCACCAGTTGATAAGTTACATATTGTCATCTTAGAAATAGCTGTTCAGGCTATAAAAACCAAAGTATGTAAAGTGACATTCAAACAGTGACACTGCCAACAGCTCCGCCCAACGATCCAACAAAAACCCACTAACATGTTTATGAGTCCCACACACTTGCCTTCCATCTCAAAGAAGGCAAGACCAAACATATCAAAACAGAACAAACGGTTGTTTAAAAAAAGATTTAAAGAAATACAGATTTTAAAGCAAGTCTGCTGGAGATCTTCATTGTTCATCTAATTGTCTCTAGTTTCCTCCAAACAGTTGTCCCCATCTTTACTCACATTAAATACATACTGCATATTATAGAACTAATCAAAACATTACAGGATGATGAAGGCTTCTCAGGTTTTTAAGATCTGACATTGGGGAAGACAATAGTAACTACCATAGTGTCTCTCATTCTCCTTTTAGCAGCTGTCCCCATCCTTACATATGCTGAAATTAAACTTGAGACTAGACCAATATCACTCTGATCAGTTAAATGAGTCAAACTAATTGACATTGGAATCTCCACCTCTGGAGTCTTTTCTGTAAAATGACCAGTCTCTCCACAGGTAAAACAGTTTTGTTTATGCTTTTGAGATAACAACTGCTTAACTGTAAATCCTTGCAAGGCAGCAGCCATAGCAAGGCCTTGCTGACAAGCAGTTTTAATGTCAATGGTACCAGGGATGGAACTCACAGCCTTTTGTCAGGTAGGCACCTGTGCCACTGAGTTAAATCTCCAGCCCTGGGGACTGAACTCACAACCTTGTGCTTGGTTGGCAGGCACTTATGTCATTGAGCTAAATTCCCAGCCCCTGCTTAATGCTCCGAGAGAGGAATTCATATCACCCTTAAATTGCTTTTGGGCCTTTTTGCCAGCATAGGCATCTTTCAGTATTAATATATTAAGGTCCCACCCATTTCTAGCTTGTGTATTACGCCTGGCGGTCTCTTTGCAATTTTTGTATTTTCCGATTTTTACAAAAGATTATCCCCACCCAATAAAGTCACTCAGGCCAATCTTTGTCAATCTGTAGGTGTGAGCCAGCCATCAGCCAGAGAATTTAAAACAGCAAGAGTGAGAGCAGCTGTAAGGCCATATTGGGCAACCACTGTCTTTAATTCTTTTAAAGCTGCCACTGTGAATGACGTATAAGTCCTAATGACTTGCGGAGCTAGCGGCGTGGTGCTCATGCCATCTTGCGGCTGTGCAGCACCGTCTTGGGGAGGTACGTTTGTTTCCGTCACCGGAAACGCAATTTTGGGGAGGGACCCACGCTGATGTGGCAGAAGTGAGGCAAGCACCATTTTAAGAGTGCCATGAGGCCTGCTGGAGGCAGGCACCATCTTAGGGGCACTATAAGGCTGTGTAGCTTGGAGGGCCTTGTGCGACTGTCTCCTCAATCTTAGGATCTGAATGCCACTGGGCAAGCAACTCAGGGATTAAATTCCAATATGCAAAGGTGGTCACCGGAACGTTTTCCGGACCGAAAACCCTATAATAATCTTTTAAAGCATCTCTTACTTTTTTCCACCTCTTGGTATCTATAGAACCCTCTAGAGGGAACCAAGGGCAAACCTTATGAATAAATTGAAAATACTGCAATAATTCTTTTATTCTAACCCTTACCCCTCTTGTCTTGAATGCCTTTATAAGGCCTCCCATGAACAATTTGTGTTCGTTCAAAGCTTGATCCATGTCCGGGAAAGGGAATGGGTCGCCGTTCACTCACTGTGACTCGGGCGGGATGTTGGGCAGTTGTCCGCGCAGGCCTCGATCCTTAATTTAATGTACTTTTGCTTTTAGCCTTAGTCTTTGATTTAGTTTGTTTTTACTTTTCGCTGCGGTCTTTGGTTCAATTTGCTTTCATTTTCAGCCGGCTTTTTTGAACGGCTCCCTCGTTGACTCCCCCGTGCCAGGAGCCCCCATGCTGGGCGCCACTTCATCCAGCCCACGGATCAATCCGTGGGGTGTACCTGGAGGGGGAACAGGGATTAAATAAACACCTGGGGGAGACAGACAGAGAGACTGAGGCAAGTCGAGAGAATCCAATCAAGCCCCGTTTATTCCAGAAGTGATTACAGCTTTTATAGGCCAAGGGCGGGCTGGTGGTTCAGGAAGAGACTACGGGGATGAATACAACAGGGTCATCGTCACGTCTGGGTATGTGACGTAAGCAGGAGAGGATTATGGTTAATGTAGGCAGACGCATTATGCCCTTAGGAGAGAGACAGGGAGGCAGCAATGGGGCTGTCGCATGGCTCCCTACCTATAACCAGGTGAAAAACACATTAACAAGAACTGTCCCAGAACCAGGGATATAGATCAGCAGTACAAGAACCTGCCTGGCAAGCACAAAGTCTTGAGTTTGATTCCTAGTGAAAAAAAAAGTCCCAGAAATTGCAAGTGTGATGGAATGATCACACAAGGACTTTATTTTTTTATTTTTATTTTTTTTATTTAAGAGGAAAAAGAGAAAAACACAAAACAAACCAAAGTGGCGTAAGGGTACACGCAATACAGAACTACAAAACAAAACAAAACAAAACAAAACAAAAAACCATAACAGTAAGAAATTACCTGCTAGTAGATTACACACTATTTTCTTGAAAATAGTTCCTCAAATCACAGTATCAAAGAACACAAGGTGGACATTCAAACAGGGAGACTGCAAACAGCTGTGTTCAATGTTCCAAAAACATTGATAAAGTCAGCTATTTAACACCCCCAAACACACTTGCTGTTATATCCGTTAGAGCTCCTTTTCTTTTTTTTTTTTTTTTTCCCTCTCTTTTTTACAACAAAATTTACACATCTTGGATTTTATTACTCCTCAGTGCTTATTACTTTCTTTGGGGGGGGGAAGAATACAGTCAAATATGGCAAAACAAAGCTGTCAGTCAATACCAAGGATAGACGTAGCACATGGTGTAGAACAGAGTACAAGTTTATCAACAATGGTTATCAACGTTGTCCCTTGTTTCCTTAAAAAGAATTGTCTATCTTATTAGATATTATAAAGTTGGACAAAACAGTAGAGAACAAGACCAATAAAACTTAGGCGTTGTAAACATTACAGGACTTCCAAAGAAGACAATAGTCAAACCAGAATGGGTATCTTAGTGAATCTTATTGTCTTCAAAGTAGTTGCCTATGTCTTCAAACTTGATACTATCATATAGAATGGAACAGAGTCTAATCAGTCAAAACAAGATCGTGGGAGTACTACAGGACTTCAAAACAAGTTAATAGGAAATCGAAAAGAGTTACTATTTATATATCCTAATTTTTTTGAATTTTTTCTTTAATTAAGACAAACATAAGAAATGACTAAATAATTTTTTTTTGAAACAATAAGGGGGAGATTGAGATAAAACAGGACATAACAATATAACAATAGAGGTCACAGCATGACTGTTTCAATAACCTAGTACTTCACCACCTTATAACCTGACTTAATAGTAGTTACCATAGTGTCTTTTTCCTTGAAATATTTGGGTAAAACTTCATATACTCTAGCTTCAAATATTTTCATATCAAGAAGCCCAGAATAAAGCCTTTCTAATTAATGAGTGAAAACTTTATAAGGCTTCAAGGCCACCTAATGGGGAATCATGATTACCACATATTTTTATATATTTGAATCATTACTTACATTAGGGAAACTATTCGGTATTCACACATGCGAGATTGATTTATTTCACTTACGAGTATGGTCTCAAGCTGTGCCCATTTATTGATAAATATCTCAATGTGATCCTTCTTTATAGCTGAATAATACTCCATTGTATAGAAATACCACAACTTTTTTATCCATTCCTCAGTTGATGGGCACTTGGGTTGTTTCCAAGATCTGGCGATTACAAATTGTGCTGCTATAAACATAGGTGCACATATATCACTGTGGTATGATGCTTTCAGTTCTTCTGGGAATATGCCTAGAAGTGGAATAGCTGGAATAAATGGGATTTCCAGTCCCAACTTTTTGAGAAATCTCCAGACAGATCTCCACAAAGGCTGTACCAGTCTACACTCCCACCAGCAGTGCAGGAGAGTTCCTTTTTCCCCACAGCCTCTCCAGCATTTGTTGTCGGTTTTCTTGATCCTGGCCATTCTTTCAGGAGTGAGATGGTATCTCAGTGTGGTTTTAATTTGCATTTCTCTAATGACCAATGATGATGAGCATTTTTTCATGTATTTATTTGCCATTTGTATTTCTTCATCTGAGAATTGCATATTCATCTCAGATGCCCATTTTTGGATTGGATCTTTGAATTTCGGAGGTCTGAGTTTCTTTAATTCTTAGACAAGAGGCCCTTGTCTGAGAGAGAGTTCACTAAAATCTTTTCCCAGTTTGTGGGTTTTCTTTTCACTATGCTGGAGATTTCTTTTGACATGCAGAAACTTTTTAATAAGAAGTGGTCCCAGTTATTGATTCTGGGAAGTATTTCCCGTGCGGTTTGAGTCCTGTTCATGAATTCTTTACCTACTCTTATGTCTCCAAGGTTTCTACCTATTTTGTCTTCCAATAGATTTAGTGTTTCTGTTTTAATATTCAGATCTTTGACCCATTTACATTTTAATTTAGCACATGGTGATAGACATGGGTCTAGCTTTAGTTTTCGGCAAATGGAGAGCCAGTTTTTCCAGCACCATTTATTAAAGAGACTGTCGTTCTTCCAGTGAACCTGCTTGGCTCCTTTATCAAAAATAAGGTGGTTGAGTGTGTTCGTAGTTGTGGTTGTATCTTCTAATCTATTCCACTGATCTTCAGCTCTGTTTTGATTCCAATACCATGTTGATTTTACTACTGTTGCTTTGTAGTATAACTTCAAGTCAGGGATTGTGATGCCTCCTGCTTTGTCTTTGCTGCTTAGAATTGCCTTTGCGATTCTAGGTCTCTTCTGGTTCCAGATGAAATTTAGGAGTGATTTCTCTAGATCTATAAGGTATGTTGATGGTATTTCTATTGGGATTGCATTGAATCTGTATAACAGTTTTGGGAGAATGGCCATTTTCACAATGTTTGTTCTTCCTATCCATGAGCAAGGGATGTCTTTCCATTTTCTGAGATCATCTTCAATTTCCTTTTTCAGTGTATTATAATTTTCACTGTATAAGTCTTTCACTTCTTTCGTAAGAGTAATTCCTAAATATTTCATTTTTTTGCTTGCTAATGTGAATAGTCCAGTTTCTCTTATTTCCCTCTCTGTAATTTTGTTGTTCGTGTATAGGAATGCTATTGATTTCTGAGTATTGATTTTGTATCCAGCCACATTACTGAATTTATTTATTGTATCTAAAAGTATTTCAATGGAGTTTAGGGGGTCTTCTATGTAGAGTATCATGTCATCTGCAAACAATGATAATTTAACTTCTTCTTTTCCTATCTTTACCCCTTTTATTTCTCTTTCTTGCCTAATTGCTCTGGCTAGTACTTCCAGTACTATATTAAATAGGAGTGGTGATAAAGGACATCCTTGTCTTGTACCCGATTTTAAAGTAAAGGCTTTCAATTTTTGGCCATTTAGTATGATGCTGGCTGTTGGTTTGTCATAAATGGCCTTTATTATATTGAGGTAAAGACCATTTATTCCAATTTTCTGTAAAGTTCTTATCATGAATAATTGTTGGACCTTATCGAAGGCTTTTTCTGCATCTATAGAGATGATCATGTGATTCTTATTTTTGGCTTTATTGATATGGTGGATTACATTTATTGATTTGCGTATGTTGAACCATCCTTGCATTCCTGGGATGAATCCCACCTGGTCATGGTGTATAATCTTCTTGATGATTTGCTGGATCCTATTTGCCAATATTTTATTGAGGATTTTTGCATCTGTGTTCATTAGGGAGATCGGTCTATAGTTCTCTTTTATAGTTGGGTCTTTCTCAGGTTTTGGTACTAGAGTAATATTTGCTTCCAGGAATGACTTAGGAAGGATTGCTTCCCTTTCAATTTCATTGAATAGTTTGAGGAGTGTCGGCATTAGGTCTTCTTTATATTTCTTGTAGAATTCTGCAGTGAATCCATCTGGGCCTGGGCTCTTCTTGGTGGGTAAGGACTTAATTACATTTTCAATTTCATTAGCAGAGATTGGGTTATTCAACAGTTTTATATCCTCTTGATCTAGCTTTGGTACTTCATATGCTTCTAAGAATCTGTCTATTTCTTCTGTGTTATCAAACTTTTGAGAGTAGAGGTTCTCGAAATAGGTGTTGATGATCCTCTGTATTTCTATTGGGTCTGTAGTGATTTCTCCTTTTTCATTTCTTATTGCATGAATTTGAGCTTTTTCTTCCCTTTTTTTAATAAGGTTGGCTAGGGGCTTATCGATTTTATTTATTCTTTCAAAGAACCAACTCTTTGATTCGTTGATTCTTTGGATTGTTTTCTTAGTCTCTATTGCATTGATTTCTGCTCTGATTTTTATAATTTCCTCTCTTCTTTTGGCTTTGGGCTTGACTTGCTCTTCTTTTTCTAGCTGTTTGAGGTGTAGCATCAAGTTATTTATTTGTATTCATTCTGTTTTCCTGATGTGGGAACTCAGTGCAATAAATTTTCCTCTCAGAACGGCTTTCATTGCATCCCACAGATTCCGGTAAGTTGTATCTGCATTTTCATTTTCTTTTAGGTATTGTTTAATTTCTTCTTTAATTTCTTCTGTGACCCACTGATTACTCAAGAGTGTCTTATTTAGTTTCCATGTGTTTGCGGAATTTTTGCAGTATCTTTTGTCATTAATTTCTAATTTCAGAGCGCTATGATCCGATAATATGCAAGGGATGATTTCAACTCTTTTGCATTTGCTGAAATATGTTCTGTGAGCTAATATATGGTCTATTTTAGAAAATGATCCATGTACTGCTGAGAAGAATGTGTATTCTGATGTTGTTGGGTGGAACATTCTGTATATGTCTATCAAACCCATTTATTCACAGGTGTGATTCAGTTCTGTTATTTCTTTGCGCATTTTCTGTCTGGTTGATCTGTCCCTTGGTGTCAGTGGTGTATTAAGGTCTCCTGTTACAATTGTGTTACTGATAATTTGAGTTTTCATTTCTGTTAATAATTGTTTTATATAACTGGGTGCTCTGGAGTTTGGTGCGTATATATTTAAGATAGTTATCTCTTCCTCTTGGAGTTTTCCCCTTACGAGTATGTAGTGACCTTCTTTGTCCTTTATGGTCATTGTTGGTTTAAAGTTCACGTTGTCTGCAAATAGAATGGCTACTCCTGCCTTTTTTTGGATTCCTGCTGCATGAAGAATTGTTTTCCATCCTTTGACTTTCAGTCTGTGAGTATCCTTCTGGGTTAGATGGGTTTCCTGTAAACAGCATATGGTGGGATTTTGTTTCTTGATCCATTCTGCTAGTCTGTTTCTTTTGATTGGTGCATTGAGACCATTTAC